CACAGACTGTACGCCTAATGGAAACAGCGGTGAGAGACCACAGACTGTACGCCTAATGGAAACAGCGGTGAGAGACCACAGACTGTACGCCTAATGGAAACAGCGGTGAGAGACCCCAGAAACACAATACAAAGCAGCCCAGAGAGGCAACATGAAGAAGCACATTCAGCCTAATGGCTTCTTGATAAGAGAAAAGTTGATGGAAATTCACAAAGGGGAGTAACCCGAGATGTTGGCGCTGGTCTCCGGGGGCGACGGCGGAATGTGCGGAGCATGATAAACCCTGGCGAGGCCGTTAATGGCTGACGGAGCAGGATTTAATGCCGCTGCTTTACGGGATTGTTTACCCCAGGGTCAGGCAGGGAAAGCACAAGTGTTTGACTAATATCCACCGTGGAGACAAACCATTTACGCAGATCCACTCGGCTTTAGCGGACTTTGCAGTAAAATGCAGCACAAGGAAGGAAGTATCTGGTTCAGGAGGCCTGATACTGATGCAAACCCACAGTGGAGGGGAACCACGGAACAGCCACAAACAACCCCTTTCACAAATAACACCAAATGAAAAGTATCCCCATCACTGTAACTCCATCTGACACAGACCCCAAATTTAGCATTACTGACTCTCCCCCCATCACTGTAACTCCATATAACACAGACCCCCCTCAGGATTACTGACCCCCCCCATCACTGTAACTCCATATACATGTAACACAGACCCCCTTCAGCATTAGTGACTCTCCCCCCATCACTGTAACTCCATGTAACCCAGACCCCCCCCTCAGCATTACTGATCCCTCCCAATCACTATAACTACATGTACTTACATGTAGAACATGGACCCCCTCAGCATTACTGACTCTCCCCTCCCCATCACTATAACTCCATGTAACCCAGACCCTCTCCTCAGCATTACTGATCCCTCCCCAGTGAAAGTGACAGGCATGTTCACCTTCTACAGGATTCCGAAGGGAACCTGGTCCGACGCCCTTGGAATATGGAATGCTGCATTAGTGGGGAATGCACCCGGAATTTTAAACTGCTTCCACGTCCCGGAATGGGGGTCCGAAGGGTGCTGCGTTTGGCATAAGGAATCCTGGTGAATTCCATGTGCCTCATGCAAACTTCCCAAAACCTCCGGAATCCTGCCAACTTCCAGCCTCACAGTAACCTCAACCTCAAACCTCCGGAATTTTAGCCAGGAGGCATACGGAATTTAGAATTTATATCTTTCACATTTCATGAACTGGAATGCTACCAGCAATACCTGCAATCCCAATTGCATAGATTATGGAATATCGAAAAGGGAATTTTCCTCCTAAACTCACATAAAGCTGTAACCCGAGAACAGTCCATAATGTTAGTTGAGCCAACGGAATTCTGCCGAAAACTAACCTGCTTCCCGTGGCTTATTAAAAATGTATCAGTTGTACACTCAGTGTCTGTGATAGAAGTATCATGTTAGAATGTGCTACATGTATATATAGTGTCTGATAGAAGTATGTTAGAATGTGCTACATGTATATATAGTGTCTGACAGAAGTATGTTACAATGTGCTACATGTATATATAGTGTCTGATAGAAGTATGTTAGAATGTGCTACATGTATATATACTTAGTGTCTATGATAGAAGTATGTTACAATGTGCTACATGTATATATAGTGTCTGATAGAAGTATGTTAGAATGTGCTACATGTATATATAGTGTCTGATAGAAGTATGTTAGAATGTGCTACATTGTATATATAGTGTCTGACAGAAGTATGTTAGAATGTGCTACATGTATATATAGTGTCTGATAGAATTATGTTAGAATGTGCTACATGTATATATAGTGTCTGATAGAAGTATGTTAGAATGTGCTACATGTATAATAGTGTCTGATAGAAGTATGTTACAATGTGCTACATGTATATATAGTGTCTGTGACAGAAGTATGTTAGAATATGCTACATGTATATATAGTGTCTGTGACAGAAGTATGTTAGAATGTGCTACATGTATATATAGTGTCTGACAGAAGTATGTTAGAATGTGCTACATGTATATATAGTGTCTGGGATAGAAGTATGTTAGAATATGCTACATGTATATATAGTGTATGTGACAGAAGTATGTTAGAATGTGCTACATGTATATATAGTGTCTGGGATAGAAGTATGTTACAATGTGCTACATGTATATAATATTAGTGTCTATAATAGAAGTATGTTAGAATATGCTACATGTATATATAGTGTCTATAATAGAAGTATGTTAGCCTATTAATTAACAGAACTGTTGTCTACTCCAGTCCATCAGACTTGACAATCAGACTGTAGAATCTGGCACAAGATCAGATAAATGGTACTTGTTGTGCTTCAGCAGCCTAGTTTATGTTTGCGTTAAATTAATTTGTATTTGATCAAAATCATCAATTCAATAACTAAAGGCATTCAGGCAACATTTTACTATATGTAACCCTTGAAACCTGACACCCTGCAGCCATGAAACCTGACACCCTGCAGCTCTGAAACCCGACACCCTCCCCTTGCTGCAGACGCCGCAGGCTTTTCTTCTGTCTGCGTCGCAGCAGGGCAGACATTATTACCTTCGCACAGACATGATGAGGTGTTTAAAATTCCCCCTTATTACCCTCACACAGATGTCAAAGTTTCCCATTATGAGGTGTTTAAAATTCCCCCTTATTACCCTCGCACAGACGTCAAAGTTTCCCATGATGAGGTGTTTAAAATTCCCCCTTATTACCCTCGCACAGACGTCAAAGTTTCCCATGATGAGGTGTTTAAAATTCCCCCTTATTACCCTTGCACAGACGTCAAAGTTTCCCATGATGAGGTGTTTAAAATTCCCCCTTATTACCCTCGCACAGACGTCAAAGTTTCCCATGATGAGGTGTTTAGAATTCCCCCTTATTACCCTCACACAGACGTCAAAGTTTGGTTTAAAATCATCATGATCAGGTGTTTAAAATTCCCCCTTATTACCCTCGCAGAGACGTCAAAGTTTCCCATGATGAGGTGTTTAAAATTCCCCCTTATTACCCTCACACAGACGTCATGATGAGGTGTTTGAAATTCCCTCTTCTCTCTCTCTCTGCTTTGAACTGCTAATCATCAGCCACAGACGCTAAACTACAGGGCCTCTTTATTACAAGGTTTAACTATGCCTGCAGCTACAAAAACGTAGCTGGCACAAGTGTTTATGTAGTATATATTATAAACCCACCGCTATACTCATCATTAAGTTTTGAGATGTGTTTCTAGAATATAACACATGCAATGCTACTAGCTCTTATACAATATTCTGCCAACACCATTTAACAACTAGCCTGATTTGTTTAGTCTGCAAAGCTGCAGGTTGGTTCATTTTTCTGCAATGTTGAAAATGTCTCTGCAAAATGCAGACTAAAGCTATATATATACACTGCATGGGATATGTACAATGTAACGTTACAAAAGTCATGTAACGCAACACTGCCATAGTTGTAACAATACCTGCAGCTTGCTACAATGTAGCCATGTCAAGAGTTCACGGACCATTAACCTGACACTATACCGCTACATCTGATCTGCCCAATCCATGCCGCACAGGACAGCTCCAGGCAGCAATTTTGGAGAGTCTGTCGAGGTGACAGACCGATACAAAATCAGGCTGAATTGCCTCCCAGTCTAGCCTGCAAACGGCCTGGCAGCTTTAATATATCTGCCCATCAAACACATAATGGAGCGGCACCCAAACGTTGCATCAATTTCTCGCTCTTTGCAACTAGATGTCCATCATCTGGCACTTACCGTAACAAAAATTGCAGGACTGTTAAAATAAAGTCTGGTCCTAGATATTGGGACAGAATAACGCTTATAAACAGAAATGATGGGGACATTGAATCTTTCTTGTTAGATTTTCTAGGACAGATTCCTGGAACATTTTCCTTTAGTTTCTGGAAATTGGGCCAGAATAACGCAGACAGAAATGGTGGGGACAATGCAACTTTCTTGTTAGATTTTCCAGGATGGATTCCGGTAACATTTTCCTGTAACATTTTCCTAGAATTATAAATGCAGACAGAAATGGTGGGACAATGAATCTCTGCTGTAAGATTTTCCAGGATGGATTCCGGTAACATTTTCCTTTAACATTTTCCTAGAATTATAAATGCAGACAGAAATGGTGGGACAATGAATCTTTGCTGTCTAAGATTTTCCAGGACAGATACCGTAACATTTTGCTGTTAGATTTTCCAGGACGGATTCCTGTAACATTTTGCTGTTAGATTTTCCAGGATGGATTCCTGTAACATTTTGCTGTTAGATTTTCCAGGATGGATTCCGGGAACATTTTGCTGTTAGATTTTCCAGGACGGATTCCTGTAACATTTTGCTGTTAGATTTTCCAGGACGGATTCCTGTAACATTTTGCTGTTAGATTTTCCAGGATGGATTCCTGTAACATTTTGCTGTTAGATTTTCCAGGATGGATTCCTGTAACATTTTGCGGGAATAATTCATGAGAACCTGATCCAGGAAGGTTGATGGATGGACAGCAGCCGCGGATAAGGAACACCTGCACAGGGGTCAGCGCAAAACCTGCTTATCTGTCCCAAAGGAAATCTGTTTGTTTCATACAGAAGTGGGTGTTTGTAGATGGGCCCTGGTGTAAAGACTGGCCGACGGGCAGTTTTCATTTGGAAAGTTTGCTGCTTAAAAGACCTGGATGTACATTTGTCACCAGACATGTGATTTTGAAATTAACAATGAACGTAGTTCAACATTGTCCCAAGGTTTAGGGTTACCCAAGTCTAAGACTTACCAAAGGACATTCAAAAGTTAAAGACATTTCACAAGACACACACAAGACAGGTAAGAAAGGAGACTTACAGGTGTGAAGTATTACCGCATCACAAGACACACACAAGACAGGTAAGAAAGGAGACTTACAGGTGTGAAGTATTACCGCATCACAAGACACAAAGAAGACAGGTAAGGAAGGAGACTTACAGGTGTGAAGTATTCCGGCCCACAGGTGAAATTTTTCCACTTACAGTCTAAGAGAAACGACTCTATCTGATGCCCGGTTCTGTTGGCAAACTCCATAATGCTGAAGGGCGAGGGTTTAAAAGAATCGAAGTTTGCCTTGTTTTTTAACGCTTCCATGTCTCCCGGGGTTGCATATTCAGAGCAGCGAAGGTTATTATTTTCATCTAAAATATTGAGGCCTTTCCCCATGTGCCAGAGATCGTTCTGCGTGAACTGTTTCCAGCGGAACATGTTCATGTTACAGATGGTGATGGCTGGGAAGTCGAGCCGCTCGGCCAGCACCATGTCCAGTTTGGTGATGTGCGGGTACTGGAAGTAGAACTTGACTCGGTCGGAGCACTGATACAGCAGCACAGACAGGCTCCCGATGAAGGCCAGCGCCCAGGCCACCTGCCTGATGCTGAGGGGAGCGTCCGGGAAGATGTGCGGCAGGCCGTGCAGCGTGGAGCCCGCCGCAAAGTCCGAGATGGTCTGCGCCTGTTTGCGGTAGTACGTCTGCTCGCCGGCGTCTGTTCCATCCCCGAGCTCCGAGCCTGCGTCGCGAGGTTCCGATCCCGCCGTGCTCGACCCGCAGCAGCATTGTCCGCAGTCGCAGCACGGACAGCAGTCCAGCTCCACCGAACACGTCAGCTTCACGTGCATGGTTTCAGGTTTTACTGTTTCACGGGCGTGGTTCTACAGATCACGTTTCACGTGCGTGCTTCGACAGAACGTTTTACAGGTGTGGTTCCATGGAACACGTTTCACCTGCGTGGTTCCACCAAACACGTCAGTTTCACATGCATGGTTTAGCCGTTTCACGTGCGTGGATTATAAGCGGAACAAGTTTCACCTGTGTGCTTCAACAGTTCACGTTTCATGTGTGGACTTCAACATAACACATTTCATGTGCGTGGTTCCAGAGAACACTTCAGTTTCACATGCATGGTTCCAAACAACAGGTGATTTTCATGTGCATGGATCTGAGGAACATGTAAGTGTGTGGTTCCACAGATCAGATAATTTTCACATGCATGGTTCCACAGATCAGATGAAATTCACATGCATGGTTCCAGAGTTTCACGTGCGTGGTTCCAAGGTTTCATGTGCATGGGTACTGGCCAGCGGGGTCCTTTCTCCTCCGAATAAGCAACCAAGATTCGGGCGGTGACAGCAAAGGTCGCGTTTCTGCATAGAGGTCAGTCCAGTTTCCGTACGACTTTCGGCACAAAGTATCGAAAAGGAGGCACCTCGGTGCACAAACAACACGTAATATTTACAGCAACAACAACCCTTATATGGGTGAAAACTTGCCTTGCAGCAGCCCTTGTGATTTATATTGCAGCCTCCGTCTCACATAGCAGAAAACGGACGACAGGAGCCAAAGTCACGACTATTTACACGCTCCCGAGACTCACAGAAAAACACTCCGTCCGCGAGCGGCACAATTCTGCCCGGAAAATTCCCGATCAGCAGAGGAATATTTTCAGCAGGAATCCAGCGGCTTTCCCGGCTTTACAGCGGCGAGCTTCAATCAATAAAAATGCAGGACAGTAAAAATTCCAGGCTGCTCCTGGCGAGGGTTATTCCGGCTGGTGAATTCCGGGTGTTATTCCGGGTGGTGTGTTCCTGAGGACAGTGCCGTGGGTGCTGCTGGGGGTGGGCTGGATGTTGCCGGATGTTGTTTGGAGTCAGGATCAGCCAAACCTTCCCCACCTCAGCCCCACACAGCTCAGCAGAGTTCCCAGTTCCCCAGGCTGGTTAGAGTCGTTCCCGGAGCAGCCTGTATTTCAGCTGGGCCTCTCACACACACACGCACACCGAGCCGCAGTCACGTCTGGTCCTCCACCGAACACTGCGGAGCGAGCAGCAGCCACACCGTCTATCCATCAGCCTCTGACAGGATTTGCATAGCGTCTGCGTGCCGCACATATGTAATGGGCTCACCTGCCGCGCGCTGCATCCATATGTATCCCCCGCTCCCCACCGGTCCCACCGGGTAATTACCGAGCACCGTTTGATGGAACACAATATCGGCCGGGACTGGATAGCCGATCCCCCGGGACAACCAGTCAGAATTCAACACACAAATTTCCTGTGGACTGCCACTGATTCCACTTGGCACAATATTCACACATATCCTGCAGGGTATCCAGTCCGGTTTATATTCCCACCTACGTGTATCATACGTGCATCTCCCACACGGCTGCCCTGCATGCGCAAAAATGGCACCGTGACAAATTCACACAGAACCATGCAGGCAGGGATATCTACATTGTACACCACTGTGAGTTATTCCAAATACATGTCTCCATCCTGAGCACTAATGACTTCTGCTGACGCGGCACAAATGCGAATATGTGACAAATTTCCACACAAAAACCACTGAGACGGAACCGACTTAAATGCGGATTATGGAAATTGATCAACCCAGAATTGAGTCTATTTGCTCCATAATTGAGGCAGAAAACAAATCCAGATGATGATTATGTAGGGCGGAATTCGGGTTGCGGGAGATGCATTATTCAGGGCAGGTTTCCGAGGGAAAAGCGGGAAACGTTCCGATCACATGACGTTCCGAAGGAAACTGTCAAGTGGCGAGTCCTCAGAACCAGTTACGGTAATTACTCCCGCTGTAAACATGATCACAGCATGCAATATTAACGCCTTAGACACCAAACTCACGAGGACCTTTCAGTACAGAAACATGCAATATTAACGGCTTAGACACCAAACCTTTCATGGGGACTTTTCATGGGGGGACCTTTCGTGGGGGGAGCTTTCAGTGCTAGAAACATTGTAAACATGATCACAGCATGCAATATTAACTTACCAAACTGGGGACCTTACAGGGATACATGTACTACAAACATTGGGGGGGGGGCTTTCAGTACTCCCGCTGTAAACATGATCACAGCATGCAATATTAACGGCTTAGTCACCAAACCTTTCTTAGGGGGACCTTTCAGTACAGAAACATTGGGGGACCTTCCAGGGATACATGTAAACATTGGAGTAATAAATAATTACTCCTGCTGTAAACATGATCACAGCATGCAATATTAACTACCAAAAACTGGGGACCTTACGCAGGGATACATGTAGAAACATTGGGGGACATTCCAGGGATAGAAACATTGTAAACATGATCACAGCATGCAATATATATAATGGCTTAGACACCAAACCTTTCATGGGGACTTTTCATGGGGGGACCTTTCAGTACTGAGCGATAGAAACATGATCACAGCATGCAATATATATAATGGCTTAGACACCAAACTCATGGGGATCTTTCATGGGGGGACCTTTCAGTACCAGTGATAGAATCACTGGGGGGCCTTTCAGCGATAGAAACATTTGAGGACCACAATTATGTAGCTTCTAACCTTTTTCTAAACTTCAAACTGAATATCCAAGACCATGGAGATTACGGGAGAGGCTTGAGGACCAAAGGTAACATGAGGGATCATCGTCACATTAGCATTTGTATTGATCAGCGTTGGCAGCAGGGCAGCAAAGATGGAGACAAGCCATGTACAAATTACTCCTGGGACAGACTCAGAATATGATCACTTTGTGACAGCATTAAACAAACATAAAAGCAATTATAGCAACACTCGGGCTGCCGGTGTAGCGAAGCGTGTTACACAAAATCGCTACATTGCTGGCAAGGCTGCGGGTGTAGCTGTTGTATCAGACAAACTCGCCACATTGCTGGGAAGTGAGAATCTAACCCTGGAGGCAAAGCATGAGGTGCAAATTTGGATTTGTCACTTCAAGGATTGCTACATGTAAAATGCATAGTAACAAGTAATACCAGTAACGTCAGTAACATCATAAATAACATTTCCGATGCAGGATTATGAAACAAAATTCCCAGGTTGAAACAAAAGGCGTTTTTCCGGGATTATGAAACAAAATTCCCAGGTTGAAACAAAAGGCGTTTTTCCGATCCTGGCCCGTGTCGGCATCTGGCTGACATAATCCGCTGCCGTGGCGATGGTTTCCATGGAGACGCGATGATGGATGGAAGAGTTCATTCTGGCGTCCCGGGGGAGGGCGCAGTTTGGGCTGCATATTAGCCGGCTTTGTCGTGTTATTTGAGACATCCAGGGTTGAACGCTCACCGATGAGGCAATAATTATGCCGCGGCGCCACAGATATCTGGGACTCATTAACAGCCACACCGCAGGCCGCAGCTTGGCGGCATGGGCGTACAGTCATCATGTAATTATTTACTACATGTGGGTTTACAGTCAGGTTTTCATGTGGGAATTATTTACTGCAAAGGTTTACATAATTACTGAGGACGGGTTCATTTTACTGTCAGGTTTTCATGTGGGAATTACTGGGGACGGGTTGATTATGATGGTTAAAGATGTCACAGAGGAGGCTGAATTATATGTTCATGGAGCTGTTTCTGATTCAAATACTAGTAAACATACACAAGGCTGCCTTCATGTGTTCATGTAGCTGTTTCTTTCCAACAAACCTAAACCACAAGTACATGTAGCTGGCCTTGGTGCTGAACTAACAAAACTGTCCCTGTCCTTGGTGCTGAACTTCTAATCTTCTACATTTTGAAAATATCTAATGGAAACTGATCAGTATTGAACACAATATACTATATGCCACCTCTCCAATGGGATCAGCGTTGTACACACTTGTACAATGTACATGTACACTAGTACAGTGCCCTGCCTCCCTAATGTGATCAGTGCACAGTAATTGTTGTATAGCCTGTATAGCCTGTATAGCCTGTATAGCCCTGCCTTTCCAATGTTCTGCTGCAGTAACTGTTATGGAATCATCACCAGAACAGAAGCAATCGCCTGCAATCTCCCAGGAACCCAGTTCCATTTTCATTTCTCCAATGAGTGTTGTATATGTTACATGTACATGTACTTAAGCCCTGCCTCTCCAATGTGCTCATCATCAGTGTTGCATAAAACTTGTACGTGTGCATGTTAACGCCCCGCCTCTCTAATGTTCCATTGCTGCAGTTATGAAAGCATCTCCAGAACAGAAGCAATCGCCTGCTGAGTCTCCCAGGAACCAGTTCCATTTCAGTTGTTCCTACTGTACAGGCTTGTTTCCCCGATCAGTATTATCATCATGTACAGCCCCACCTTCCCGATGTTCTGCTGCAGTAACTGTTATGAAAGCATCATTAGAACAGAAGCAATCGTCCACCGAGTCGCCAAAATCACCGGCCGAGTCTCCCAGGAACCAGTTCCATTTCAGTTGTTCCTACTGTTTAGCCCTACTGTCCGATCAGTATTATAATATGTACATGCACAGCGTCTAGCCCCACCTTCCCGATGTTCTGCTGCAGTAACTGTTATGAAAGCATCATTAGAACCGAAGCAATCGTCCGCAGTCTCCAAAATCACCGGCCGAGTCTCCCAGGAACCATTTCAGTTGTTCCTACTGTTTAGCCCTACTGTCCGATCAGTATTATAATATGTACATGCACAGCGTCTAGCCCCACCTTCCCAATGTTCTGCTGCAGTAACTGTTATGAAAGCATCATTAGAACCGAAGCAATTGTCCGCAGTCTCCAAAATCACCGGCCGAGTCTCCCAGGAACCAGTTCCATTTCAGTTGTTGATTTGCCTGAGTAACTTGATATTATGTAGGGCCGTTCCATTCCCCTGAGAGGGGTGTGGATCGATCAAACCCTGCATGTCAGGCCAGACTGGACAACTATTATGTCTGGGGCGGTCCATCGGACAAACTGCCCTGCAGCACAGCACACAAAAGCAACACGAGTCAGACCCACAAGTCAGACTGATGCATATATGCAGGATTTGCCGCCTGCTGCAAAACCAGGGAGAATCGCAGACATCATAACTCCCCTCGGTTACAGATTATTCAGTCATAACAATCAATAATGGAGTCAATATGAGATGATAACACGAAGTCAATATGAGATGATAAGCGCTGGGCTGGAATTGTGTCATGTTAGCAGACTGAGTAACATATATGCAAAGTAAGTATTACCCAGCGACTGGATAACTTGTGTCAGCAGCAGACATCTATAACATCACCACAGTGACTACAGTCTCCCATAAGTGACTCCCATAAGTAACATCACCACTCTAGTCTGCCATCAGTGACTCACTATGATGGAAGTGTCTCATTCCCATTCCCAGTGGCTGCTCATGGAAGATAGTGGATGTCGTCTGAAACGTCTAACTCAAGAGAAATTTATGCAGATTGCTCGCCTTTGCTATTACGTAATATTCTAACCTGTTTGATGTCTAACCAACATCGATGAGCAACATACATTTTACCCAGTCACAGCTTTAGCTAAAGCTGAATGATGCCGTTTGCACACTATAATGCTACCAAAATAAGAGAACCAATCAAAATACCACAGAGAGGCCCATTATTGTAATTTGTACTAAGGCTCGGTTTGCCCCACTCGAGGACAAATC